ACAGCGCAATAAATCAGCTTGGTCTCTGAACTGCAAAAGCTGGTAAACACCCAAAGGACAATAGAAAACAACAAAATTCATTTTAGTTTTTAGATGTTTTCACTCATTCTTCACACAGTGAGCAAATAATAAAAAACAACCTGATAACATATTTTCATATTTCAGTCTCTCCTTAAAGAGTAATAAAATACCTCAGGAGGATGAGATGACCAGAAGCACTCTGTATTTCCAAAATCAACTATGAAAGTCAGATTATCTGGGCATGTCTGAAAGCTATGCGTAACCTTTGCGCTACAAATATCTCATTTCAAAAATGTCATATTCTGCTTATTCAGTAGGGCTTCCATAAGGCTATTTTAAGCACCATGCTGCTTGCTTCTAGAGGAGAACTGTAGTTATTACAGCCTGCGTGTTCTTGCAGTTTATTAAAGCTAGATAACTGCTTGGTAGTAGGATGCTATTAAACAGGGAGGGTTCCTGCCCAAGCAGCGTAATCGCTGTGAAGTTTGGTTTTGTTTGCAAGGGTCGTCGTGCCTCCAGTGTATAAACTGCGGTAGTTTGGGCAGTTCTCGTGCCAAAAAGGAGCTGCTGGCATCGCAGCCCGCGCTCCCGCAGCCTCCGCGGCCAGGGCAGCTCCCCTGAGGGCAGAGACCGCGGAGCAGTGGCTGAGCGATCTTCCGCTGATCACCGCCGGTCTGCTCGACCTCCTCGCAGACCTGGTGGTCTCTCCTGCGACAGAAGCACTCACGGGAGCTTTGTGGTGCACTTTGACATGGCCGTTGAAGGGAACTTGCACCTGGCAGGGAGAGGAATAGTCCTCAATCTCCTTTCTTCCATGTATCTCTGGGTCGGGCCCAGTGTGCTCTGACGTACGAGTGGCAGAGTCTCAAGGAAGTTACTGGAGACAGTTGCACCAGGGATGTGGTAATCCGTGTTGAAAAGCACTTAATTACTCCATGTTTAGGAGTAATTGCACACATTGCACACGGCAATGTGTGCATCACCAATATGTCAGCATGGTTTGCTTTTCATAGGAGTTTATGTTCCCAGCAGGCACCGAATGCTTTTTCTGCCCGATAAATGTCAAGTACTTAAAGCAATCTTGCCTGTTCCTCTCTGGAGATGGCCAGATAATCTCCTTTCATTGGCTGTGGGATCTTGCCAGGACTTCTGCATTCATACACATTTATCCCTGCCAAATACTGGTAACACAGGCCCTGGACAAATGCCCCCTGCTCCTTCCATTAGCTTTGCACAGCTCTGTTCAGTTGCAGGATTCCGGGTTTTTTTCTGTGTTATTCTGGGCTGGAGCGGTAGTTCGTGATCCATATTCCATTATCGAGTGTGCCGCAGAGTTCAGCCCTTGCTATGGAGCTGTTTCCGAGTAGAAACCTTTGTTAAATAAATGTGGTAAGTGTCTTGCACCACAGCCTTTTTCAGCTCATTCAGTTTGCTTCCTGAATGCCCCATTGCAGCTGAGGGGAGTTCCCAGCAGATGTTGAGCAGTTCTTCTGTTCCCAGTCAGGATAAAAAGATTTCTTTGCTGTTTACCCTATCCATTTACCTGTGTATTTTCTCTAGGAAGTCTTACAGCACCAAATGTTCCTGCTCTCTGTAGCATATAGGAGGTACCTCTATACATTTATAAGGCTTATAAAATATTTAAAGCATTTAGTTTTAAATTTTAGTTTGAAAAGTCCAGTTCGTCAAGGAGAGAAAAAGATCTCAATAACATACCACCTCCTGGAAATAGATGCTTTAATAAAATAAACTGTGGCAGGGGAAAAAATGCTTTTAATAGAAAATGGAAAGTAAGTCTTTCACCTTGTCATGTCTTGCCCTGTGTATCAAACAGCAAGACTAGGTCATTTGACCTTCTTGTTGATAATGTCACCGAGGTATTTTAGGCTAATGCTCATGCGATGGCAGACGAGAATGCTGCGTGTGTCACTGTGGTATTTAATTTCAACCCATGCAAAAATACTTTATAAGACTAGATGGCAGAATGTCCATCATTTTTCCATGACATTTCTCATTTCCTTGTCTATAATGTAATAACTTGTGAATGTTGTATATGCAAACCCACAAAAAAGGACTGGTCTAGACCACATGGCAGAACATCGTCAGTTGGATAAAAACTGTGAAAATGGAAGGAGGAGGGAAGAGACAAAATATGCTATTTCTAGCAATTTGTTTGAAAACACAGTACTCAACCACTTTTAGCTATTTTTGGGTAAAAATATCAGCTAACACTAGCCTTGTGAATGACCTCCAGCACAAGAGCATCTTTTGATTACTTTGTCCATCACTAATATCTCTCCAGACAAAGATATGGAAGAGTGGGGATATGGCTAGAAGACAGAGCACGTTCTCAGAGTGACAGCCATGGTGCAGGAGGTATGGAAGACAGCATAGGGAACGGGTCTGACGAAGGCAGAGGAGTGCAAACATTTGTATCTCGGGTATCCATTAAGGATGGTAGCAGGATTTAGACTAGATATAAGGAAGAAATTTTTCACAATGAGGGTGGTGACACAACTGGCACAGGTTGCCCAGAGAAGTGGTAGATGCTCCATCCCTGGAAACATCCCAGGTCAGGTTGGACGGGGCTCTGAGCAACCTGATTTGAGTTGAAGATGTCCCTGCTCACTGCAGGGGGGTTGGACTAGATGACTGTCAAAGGTCCCTTCCAACCCAACGATTCTATCATTCTATGGTGCACAGGGAGCCGAAGTCTGTGAGAAGCCTCTGTATATGAAATACACAATTTTCAAATGCAACGAAGTGTGTAATCCTTTAGCCAGCCTAAAGTAGAGTTCAGGTCCTGGGCAACATGTTCAGAAATGACCAGGCAGTTTGTGCCAGTCTCATTGACGGTCTCTTCATTTTAATGGCACCAATCTGAAGAAGAATGCTTTTGCCAGGGTTGTAAATTAGATTAACAGAGGTGCGGAGAGACGATTGAGATCAAGTTTATGTCAGTCAAATGTACATGAACATAATATACAAATAACAGACTAAACAAAGAGGAAATAGCGATTTAGCTCGAAACACGGCAAGAAAAAATCTGCTAGTATTGTCAAATACGACAGGAGTAGTATTTTCTGCAAAGCCCAAATGATTCTGGTAGCCTACATCTCATTCCCAAAAGTCTATCCTAATACATTCAAGAAAATTAATTTGGGTTAATTAAAAAGACAAATTTAAAGTGCATTAGGATATATCCACATACTCTTATCTGTGGTAGCTTTTGCATGTCCCTAGCCTGCTGCAAAGTGGAACACGTTAATTGGAACCATCATGAAACCATAATATAATTTTTTTAGTTGCTTGTTGTTTGTTTTTTTTTTTAATTCTGCTAAGATTTTTTTTTTTTTGCTTTGTTGTACCTTAGTTATAAGTTATGCTGAAACAAATGCTGTTGATGAAGAGTGGTCTCATTACTTCATAAATGTGTACACACATACATTCACAGCTCCTTATTCCTAAAAAAAACTGGAACCTTGTTTAACATCTGCCTGTATTGCTATGCCTTGTAAGAATTGAAGAGAGGTTATTTAGCAGATCAAAGCAGAAGTGTGACAAAGTGATAACGCTGTGTCTGAAGCCTCCTCTGATACTGCCCAAAGCACGTTGGGAAGATGCTGTGATGCACATGTCTTACAGCCCTGAGCCGCTGTCCTCGCAGACTGTCAAAATACTGTCTTTCGGCTGGCAGAGCAGTGCCTCGCTGATGGCTTTAGCAATACATTTGCGGCTGCTTCTAAAAGAGGGTTTTTAAGTCCATGAGCTACTGCTTGGTTTAACAGTAGAAATTTGCCGCCTGTTTTCTGATGGGTCAGCAGAAGTCTAGAAATGTCTCTGAGCACTGAGCTTGCGGTGGCAAATCTGGAGCAGTGAATTGGTAAGACAGGAAAGCTGCCATTCTAAACCGGCCTGTAGTTTATGATTTTTCTTAAATTGGGAAACTTAGCAATGAGGTATCAAGGCTTTCAATGCAAGAACTATTTACCCTACAGGAATAAAAATTAGGGTTAGTGTATGTGGTAAATTTTATTTCTGAGTAAGTTTGTTGAGTCCGCTTAGGATAAAAACTGACTTCACCCGAACATTTAAGGAGGCATTTTATTAACCCCGATATGTAATGAGATGTTTTATTAACTATTTATGCAAAGTGAACAAAATGCACTTTCCATTAGTTTCTTTATTGTTTAATTCATAAGGGATAATTTCTAAGAAACACATCACCTCTCAATTCAATTGAATTTCATCGCAATGTTTTGGTTTATGATTTCAAAGACAAAATGGTATATTGTTTTCAGAAGTAACCTGTTTAGGAAAGATCTGAATCTATGAGATACTTTCTTCCCCCTTGACTTCACTGAAGTCTCATTAATTCATAGGATTGAGTCCAGATAAATGATTAGGATTATCCCAATAGCAAATATTATGGTATTTGTGTGTGAGTGTTTTCTTTCCCAGTCAGTGCTGAGAGAATTGTTGTGCTTTATGCAAGAAGTTACTATAAATATAAAGGTCTTGATTCTGTGTCACTGCAGCTACATCACTGTCATTCCAGTATGAATGTCCAGGATCTTAATTTTTCTCTTGTAGCCATAAGGAGTTCATTTGGATACGTAGTTTTATGTCTTTGGCAACTCTGGGTCTTTAAAATCCCACAGTGATACTTGAAAAGCATAATATTTAAAAATGGAAAGTCCCCTATTCAAAGAATTTGGGAGAGAACAGATGTCTTGGAGGAAGAGCAGTGCTCGCTAGCTATGTAATATTAGAGTGTCAGAGCATTCTGGGGGAAAATTAGGAATGTTTTGAATAGGGTGTTATTTTTATAGTGTTCTACTGATGTAATACCAGAGAAAACCAGCAACAGGCTGGTCCCAGAAAATCCATTCCAGAATTACGACAACATAACAGAGATCCTATGGTTGACAAAGTGGGTTACCTACTTCTGATAAATTTATATTTTCTTCTGTTTTCAGTGTCAGCCAAACCAAGACCTCACAGTGATGAATACACAAAGAAGATTCCACCTCCTAAGCCGAAACGAAATCCAAACACTCAGCTAAGCACATCTTTTGATGAAACATATATCAAAAAGCATGGCCCTATGAAGACAACACTCACTAGGGATGCCTCTTTATCACAGGTCAGCAGTCCTGCCCCAGACACAGAGGAAGAAGAGCCTGTTTATATTGAAATGGTTGGGAATATTCTCAGAGACTTCAAAAAAGATGAGGATGACCAAAGCGAAGCAGTCTATGAGGAGATGAAATACCCTATATTTGATGACGTAGGCCAAGATTCAAAATGTCAATGTGAATATGACCATCACACTTGTTCTTCTCAGTGTGCTACTCCCACAGTGCCTGACCTAGATTTCACCAAGTCTTCAGTGCCATCTACTCCCAAGGGCTTGCTTTGTGATATACCCCCACCATTTCCAAATCTGCTTTCTCACAGACCTCCGCTTCTGGTGTTCCCACCAGCACCAGTGCAGTGTTCCCCGAATTCTGACGAGTCTCCTCTAACTCCACTAGAGGTCACAAAGCTTCCCGTTTTAGAAAATGTGTCTTACATCAAACAACAAGCTGGAGCTTCTCCCTCTTCACTGCCACCTCATACACCAGGCCATCAAAAACTGGAGAAAGACCAGGCAGTATCTCATGGAACTAGCACCCCTGGGCACACCTCCTCACCTCCTCATCCTTCTACTTTATACAGAACACAGTCTCCACATGGTTATCCTAAAAGTCACTCCACCTCACCTTCTCCTGTCAGTATGGGTAGGTCTCTTACCCCCTTAAGCCTCAAAAGACCTCCACCTTATGACTCTGTACATTCAGGAAGTCTCTCAAGAAGCTCTCCATCAGTGCCTCATTCTACAGCCAGAAACACATTGCAAGAAGGAGGAAAGATGGTAAATGCCTCGGTCAGTACCTACGGGTCATCGTCTCAGAGTGGTTCCCGTTCTCGGACACCCACCAGTCCTCTGGAGGAACTAACCAGCCTCTTTACCTCAGGACGAAGTCTCCTGAGGAAGTCCTCCAGTGGCAGAAGATCCAAGGAACCTGCAGAAAGTAAGTTCTTGATGTAATTTTTCCTTGTTCTTCCTTGTATAATAATATCTTTCACTACATTGTACTAAATCAGATGCTTGCAAAAATCAAATACCTCAGAAGTCTGAATTCCTTATATAAATTTCTTGTAACAGGAAGAAAAGTGATTATTGTTAAAATTGCTCTAGTCTTCATATTGTTACATTTTTAAGATTTTTTTAAGTGTGCATACTGCACTACAGAAGTACAATTCATGGCTTGGTCTTGCAAAAGGAGTCAATTTTTATTAGCTTTTCCACAGTTGTAAGGGTCCCATGTTAGTTGGGATCTTCCCACCATGTCACATCCTTTCTTGATTGATACTAAGACACAGTAGTTGTCCAAGCAGCTTGTACCAAAATAACCAAACAGTAGTTGTTTATCGGCAAAGATCGATTCATCACCCTTAACTTGGCCAGTGATCACAGTGTGTATGAGGGCAACCAGAGGTACCAGCTTAAACCATTCCTCCCCTCCCACTGCCTCCTTCCGTACTGTGCCGCAGAGCATCTCTTTCAGCTGTGCTAGTCTGACTGGTTGGGAAACAATACTGTGAATCGATCTGAAAACTAAGATGACGTATAACACGTTACCCACACACAAAGAAAAGCACAGGAGGAAGTTGTGCAGGAAAACCTTAAGCTAATATTGACTTTTCATACGCTGTATCGTAAAATCTTTGTCCCATATGCATTCAGGTTTACACAATGTACACCTATTTCTGAGCTAGTGAAATATGGAAACTCCTAATGAAATCAGCAGGAGTCACAGATGTGAGTGAAAGCAGAACCTGGCACCAGTATTTCTGTTGCAAAAACATTCCCGTTCGGTGATGCCAAAGACAATGTCTTGCAGTGAAAGGTAACCATAGCACGTTTTGTCAGAGTGCAAAGTGGGTTCAGTACGCTTTCTCCTCCAACTTGAGTAAAATCAGTTTACGACTTTGAATTCTTGACCCCTGCCTAACAGAAAGGCTCTCTTTGGAGAACAGTTGATCTTATGTTTGTGTAAGTGCTATATTATACCTGTTTGGCAGCTGTAATGTATTAGATATGATGTGATAAACTACACTGGTTTATACCTGATGAAGGAAGGTGTTCTGGTTTCAAAGCTGCCATATAGCTACAGAAGAGAAGAGAATTCTGCACTGACAATTTCTGGTTGTGTTTGTGCCAGTCTTGCTACATTACTCGTTGTAGTGTGGTCACACCACACCAGGGGCCCACAAGAACAACCCCTCTGGGTTTTCATGGGCAGAGGTTGCCTGCCTCGCACTTCTGCAGCTGAGTGAGTGCATGCAAACATGTAAGTCTGGAGAAGCTTTGGTGGCAATGGTTTGGGTTGGCATACAAAGCATTCCTCCTGATTCATGGACTCCACTGCCGCAACCTCAGCAGTTTTATTCTTATTTATCTCTGTGCAAATCAGGAGTGATGACTCGGAGATCAGAAGGTGGAAGTGAGAATGGAGTTAGCAGAATACTGAGAATACTAGTTGGTGCAGCAGTTTGCTTAATTTGGCTTTAATATTTGTGTAGCCTGCAATCATAAATACTGTTTTATGAAAGTTTTAGCTCTGTGATTCAGTAGGGTTTCACTAAGTGATTACAGTAGTAAAAATACAATAACGCTGGATTTGTGTGCTGGATGGAAGCAAGCTTGTACCTGAAAGGCAAGATGATTCTTGTAATTGGGAACAATTATGAGGGATGAGATGTGACATTTATAAATAATTGCAGTGAAGCGGTAGGGAGATTTTGGCAAAGTGCAGACAATATTGAACATTATTAAACATGCTTCTTACTCATAAGTGAGCACAAATCCCCTGTAAGCCCCATGCTACACCACATCTACCTGGTGAGCTTTGTAAGTTAGATGATTTTGTGCTCACCAGTGTAGGCAGAAGCACCAGGTTTGGAACCTATAGAAATTCCTGCAGTGAATGTGGCAAGTGCTGGGAAGTTTCAGCAAATCTGCACTGCTGTCTCATACCTACCTCCAGAAAGATATCCTCTGTATTCCACTTGACTGAAATTGAATGTAGACCTTTCAAGGGACTTTTCACTGATAAATTTAAAATAAATCTTGCCCTGCAGATCTGTACCAAGAACAGCTTTCTTCTTAGCCTCTCAGGGTACATTCCGCTTGCTCCTTAGGAAGTAGAAATGTGCTCCTTATTGGTCACGACTGGTGAGACGAGACATACGAAATAGAAACTATGTTCATTTACTTTAAGGACAAAACTTTCATGTTATAAATAGACACTGGTGGTGAAAAGACTCTGGAGTGCAGCTGTGTTGAGAAAATGAACAGACTGCCCATCTAATCCAATTGTAATTTGTCTGGTATTTACAGCATGACTTAATCCTGTGGGATTACTGCACTGAGCAAGAACCAAGTTTATGCTCAGATATTACACAGGTAGAAGACACTCTAAGATTTATAGAAAACACATACAGGTCTAGTATTTTATGTCTTACAATTCTACATTAAAATGATCCACCATAAAGAAACTAAACTGTGGGATTTGAACATAGAATCTGACCAGACTGTCACATTTACATACTGTGATTATACATAGTGATAGATAGTGTAGACTGGACTAATCATGCGATCTGTTAAAGAAATCTTGCTCCTGCAAATCACACTGGAAGCCTAAGGCACTCGTACAGTTCTGGATTCTTTTGTTAAGCTATGGGAGAGCAAATGCATAGCATAGGACTAACTGGGACTGCCATGGTTTTATAGTTGTCACTTCAGTGTAATTTGGTCTCAGCACGCAGAAGATTTCCAGAATCTAGAGGATAATAAACATACAAAAAAGAAGTTATATGACTCTTATAAAATCACGCTAGGAAACTAAGAATATTTGCTTCTAAAATATAAAATTATTCTGAGCACATCTCAAGCAACTTTCTCATTGAATCCTCCAAGACTCAGCCCTCTGTGACTTGTCTGAAGCTCTTGCTGCCATATGCTAGTAAAAAAAAAAAAAAAAGCACAATATTAGATTTTATATTCAGCTGAGTGTATTTGGAAAATATTGCAGCAGTTACAGAGAGAAAATTCCCTCTCATCTTTATTGTTATTACTGCAACTGACTTTGTGGTAATTTGGCATCTGAGTCCAAACTGTATTTGCTGGCTTTTAATTTGCGCATTTCTGAGTGGGTTTCTTTCTGAGGTGGGGGACTGCACAAACCTTATTTCCAGTCAACAGCTTTAATTTACAAGTGAAGCTACCCTTGAAGCCTTTCTGTATTATTTTCTTTACTCTTCTGCCATTTTTTGTTTTTTATCCCCCTCCATTTTATTCCTATAGACTTCACTGGAATTGCATTCATGGGAAATTGGGATAAATCAGTGATACTAAGGAGACTGTCACCTCAGGGCCACGTTTTCTGAGAATATGAGCTTCCATTGAAGCCCCAGACATGTTGCTGAATGCACTCAGCATCCACCAGCTGCGGCTGTGATGTGCGTATCTGGATTTTATAAGCAGCTCACTTATTGTGCTGTGCTCTTCAAAAAATCCTCTTGTGTGCTCTTAGCATCTTAAATATGCATTACAGCACATATGAAGGTGGGGAGAAAAGAACAAAGAAAAATAAATTGTAAGGCCAAATCAGAAATTAAAAAATCGGTGGAAGATGGTCACAAAGAAAGGCAGAAAGAGGGAGAGAATCTGTATGGAAAACTGAAGAAAGATGTAGAGCATGAAAAATGTGGAAGAGTGGAAAAGATAGATATTATTAATTGTCATTGATTGTTCTTTAACCCTTCTGCTTTTGTGTGAGAACATGGTAGTGTGCCCTAACAGTTGGCAGAGCCCTGTGAAATGTAAAGTCAGTTCTCGGAGATTAGAGGGAAACTATTTAAAGGGTACCAACACTGCCTGGTGTCCTTGGGCTGCTGCAGTGTGTCCTTCTCTAATGCAGTTGGAAGGTCTTTAAGTATGACCACTCGGTCCGGCTGTGTCGAATGACGCAGCCCCTTTGCTTTCAGCATATTCACTGAGTGTCTGTGTTACCCATGTCCTTCAGTAAAGAGGGAATTACGGAGGGAGAGAGAGCGGGAATGGTCTTCAGATTTTCTGGAGCTGTGTTTCCTGCGTTTCTCTTTTCTGCACCACAGAAACATGCTGTACTCTGTGAAAATGTAGAACTGAAGTCATGTGCCTATAGGCATACCCGCATCCTAAAAAGCAAAACAGAAGCTGCTGGTGTGCATCTGAACAGCACTCACTGTGAGGCAGCATGTTGTTTTGGGGTGAAATGGTCCTGTAAACCCTTGCCAGGACCAGCCCTTTCTGTTTGTATATTGGTTGTGTCTGCTTGTGAAGACTTCAGTTTTCCCATCATTTCCTGGGAACTTTGTGCCTGTTTTGAGCAAATATTACAAATATTCATCGTAATGTACCACACAACATAATAGTTACCTCTGCTGTGTGCCCTGACTCTGTGCACGAGGTATGAGATCAGGACATGCAATGCACAGCAGCTCATTGCTCTTTTCCTTAGCTGCTCTGCAGGGCTTTGTAGCTGCTTTGGCTTTTGCCTGCGGAGAGTTTCACTCCTCAGCTTCTAGTCACACGTAGGGAGGAAATTTGTGAACGTGCTACTTTGAAAATTCAGTTAAAGTGATTGAAAATTGGGATAATTATTAACATTTCCCATTCCTGGCTGGTACCCCTACTGCATTAGGAATCTAAAACATTTTATCATAAACTGTCAAATAGTGTGGGAAGGGGAGGGGTGCAGAAGTGGCTCAACTTGTTAAAAAGGAGCTCATGCTGACTTCAGCTGAGACCCTCCCATGAAGAAATCGTGGAGGTTTTTTTGTTTTTTTTTTACATGCTGGAGTGCTGATACTTTCCAGGGAGCTAGAAAGCAGCTTTGGGTTCCCTGTTAGATAGAACAGTATGTTGGAAAGGAGAGTTTTGGAAACGAGTCGAGTGAAATTTGACCTGACATGGGTCTGTTTG